GATGCACACCCGTGCACATACCCACCCAGAGATGCACACCTGTGTGCGTGCCCACCCAGAGATTCACACCCATGCACATACTCACCCAGAGATGGACATCTGTGTGCGTACCCGCCCAGAGATGCACAGCCATGCACATAATTGAAACTAAATAAATCTTTTTTTAATGCTCTGGAGGTAGGATCCCCCCTGATTGTTTGGCCTCTTATCTCCTCTCTCTACAGATGCTTGACCTAAATAATGCCTGAGTACAGTTTTTACTGAAGAAATTGAAAATGGACTTAAAACTCCAGAAGTGAGCTAAAGCCATGAGCATAATTCACAAAAAGAAAGATATGATTATTTAACACATAGTGTATTGGAAATCTACTTATGACATAAAAATGGAATCACTTAATAAAACAGAGGGCTATTATTTTTGCTACAAAATTAGCTGAGATTAAATAAAAATCCTAAGAAAATACAATGCCCGTATCTGTGATAGGAAACAGCCTCTTAGCTGAGACTAAATAAAAATCCTAAGAAAATACAATACCCATATCTGTGATAGGAAACAGCTTCTTTGTGCTGTCATTGGTTGAAGCACAAGCGAGAGCAGAGTTCTGATAGCAGTAAGATGGTCACTACTATGGTGGGAGTGTACTCTCCAAAAGGCTCAAGCACTGAAGGAGCAGACCATAGCCTATGGCACTGTTGAGAGGTGGCCAAAGCCTGAAGGCTCTGACTAATCAGTGAATTATAGTCAGAAGTTTCTGTCCCATCCGGTCCCACAGTCACTCAGTCCCAAAGAAACACACAGAGGCTTAATATTAGTTATAAGTTGTTTGGCCTCTTAGCTCAGGCTTATTATTAACTAGCTCTTATGACTTAAATTAACCCATAATCCTTGCCTATGTTTACCCACATGGCTTGGTACCTTTTCTCAGTAGGGCATTCTCATCTTGCTTTCTCTGCATCTGGCTGGTGACTGACTCTCTGCCTTTCCTCTTCCCAGAATTCTTTTAGTCTGGTTGCCCTACCTGTACTTTCTGCCTGGCTACTGGCCAATCAGCATCTTGTTAAAAGAGTGACAGATCTTTACAGTATATAAGAGCATTATCCCACATCATATTCCCTTTTTTCATTTAGAAACAAGAACTCTGAATCTAATGTTCTTTGCTTAGCATTTTTTTTTACCATTATTCTAACAACTTGTAACCAAAGCTCCAAATAAAGACAAACATCCATAATCCATATTTGGGAATGTGGATGCAGTTTTCTAGACTACTTCCTACTGATCGAGGGTGCTGATAATTTTTTTTCTTATTTTCTGAAACAGGATTTCTCTGGCTTTGGAGTCTGTCCTGGAACTAGCTCTTCCAGACCAGGCTGGACTTGAACTCACAGAGATCCATCTGCCTCTGCCTCCGAATGCTGGGATTAAAGGCATGTGCCATCCCTACCTGGCTCAGGGGGAAGGTGCTGATAATCTTATGGGGACCCAAAGAAAGTTGAAGATTATGGTCAATTCCTGTCTGGAACATTCTGCGAGGCTGGATCATCTCAGCCAGCAGCCTTGAGGCTGTTCTGGATGTAGAACTCAGAGGAAATTGCAACAGTGGATTGCATGGATAGAACTATCTTTCAGCAGCATTCTTAGGAGGTGTTAAAAACTCATAGGTATGGCCTCACTGGAGGAATGAGGTCACTGAGTGTGCCCTTGAATATACCTTGCTCTGGTCCTTGTTCTCGTTCTGCTTGATTGCTTCCCAGCTCCCCCGAAGACAGCACCTTCCTTTTCCACATGTTCTAATTGTCAGTGTGTTCTGCATCATCTCAGACCTAAAAGTGACGGAACTAACTGGCTTTGAAGTAAGCCAAATGCATCTTCCCTTCTCCAAGTTAGTCCTCGGGTGCTGCGTCACAGTGTCCAAAGGCTGACACAGGGAAGTGCTGGCTTTGCCAGGCCAATACAACTTCCTCACCACCACCAGGCTTTCTGTCCTCAGCCCATGGCAAAGAAAGACTGGTCAACCTTCCCTAGGATTTTTTCCAGTCAGAGATGACGACTTCTTCATCTCTGCTGTGACTCAGTGAGGTGGGAAACTCCAAAAACCCAAAAGCCACCCGCTGCAACCTTGCCTTGATGTGCAGAGCATGACTCCCAGGCAACAATGGGCTGATTTGCAGAGAGAAGCCTACTGGGCTATGCTTCTCTGGGTTCTCTTCCTCACTGAGGCCACTTCTGCACCTCCTCTTTCCACACCGTGACTAAGTGAGTGAATCAGCCTTTGGTTTGCCACCCTCGTTCTGCTAGAGTGGGTTTTCTCTGCTCAGCAAGAGCCTGTGGCTAACCTCTGGTCAGGGATTGCGTAAACTGACCAATGCCTTTGAAATAAGCCCTGGTGCAGTATGTAGCCTATGGGAATCTGAAAATGCTGTAAATCTTCCATCCTTCCTTCCTTTCTTTCTTTTTTTCTTTCTTTCTTCCTCTCTTTCTTTTTTCGTTCTTTCTGTCCTTCCTTCCTCCTTTCTTTCCTTTCTGGATAACAAGTTGTTAAACATCTCCCAACTTTGCTGAAGGAACGTTGGGCTGGATTTTTGTTCCTAACAATCCAGAGAACTGAGGATCAGACAGCCATCCACGCAGAGCCCACCCACATCCCGCCTGAGACTACATTACAAATGATGAGAACCTCCTCAGGGCAGTTTTGATGTTAGAGGGTTTCCAGCTCCACCCTCAAAACAAAATTCTGTCTCAAAAATATACAACCTGCTTGTAGTTAGGCACTCTGGGGCAGCCTTCCCTACTCAGCTCTGTCTGGCGCCCTGTTGGCTCCGCACAAAACACATTTGCCTCGGAGTACATCCTGAAGTTCAGGTGGAGGCAAAGAAGATGCCTGCCTGCCTGCCTGCCTGCCTGCCTGCCTGCCTGCCACATGGGAGAAGAAAGAGAAAAAGAAATACCCAGGCTTCCTGCAGATGTCCGTGTTCCCAGCTAGCTCATCCCTCGGGCTGCCTTCGAGAGTTGGGAAGAAAGGACAATGTTTTTTCCTGCCCTGTGACTCCGCCTCCTGGCAGAGAGGACCCAGGAATGCCCAGTCTTGGCTCAACCTCTTCTCTTGGAAAAGAAACAAGAATGAGGGGCGGGAGAGGGAGGAGCAGAATCCGAGCATGGAGGCCTCTTCAGCTGTCTTCTGAATTATTTTTGGTGACAAGCAGAGACCACTGGCACTCTTCATTCTGACCACATGCATGGTTTCATTTCTGGAAGCCGTTTCCAAAGAAAAATAAATATTAAAAGGAGTGTGTCTAGACCTGCTTATTATTTAACTGTTTAGAACAGGGACAGACAACTAGAGTCCAGACAAATGTCCAGCAGGTAGGAATGTTTGAGTGACTTCCACACAGCAACCCAGTGGCCATAAGATGGACAGGCATGCCATGCAGAGTGAGGTTGGATATTTATTTGGTGTGTTATGGAAGGGAAGGGGAGAGGGAAGGAAAAGGGGGGATGAGGAAAGAAACAGAGAGAGAAAAAGAGAGAAAGAAAGAGAGAGAGACAGATAGATTGAGAGAGAGAGAGAGAGAGAGGGAGAGAGAGAGAGAGAGAGAGAAGCCACAGCAGCAGCTACCTCTTTGGGAGAGAGATGGAAAGAGACTTGGGCTGCAAGCAGAAGATAGCCACTTGCTCAGGGGTGGGGGAGGTGGAAGGGGCGGGGCTTGTCTCTTAAAGGGACAGGACAGACTATTACCCTGGCACTCTGAATTCCATCCCCAGGCTGACCTGGCGGGAAAAGAGAAGTGACAGCTTCTGACAGTTGTCCTCCGACCGCCACATGTACACCCTGGCACGTGTGTTCCCAAATCACCCCCCCCCCACAGTAAACAAGTAAGTAGATAAAACGCAATGAAATGTTAGACTTGAATTTTATATTCAGAATGCCAGACAACACAAAAACAGGGAAGCGAACCAAGCCTTGGCTGGAAACTGGAAAGACAACTTCAAATGCCCACTGTGGTTTCGTTTGTGTGGTAAAGCTGTTGGGGGTTTTACTTCTACTTTTCTCGGTATTTTCTAAGTTGTGGTCAATAAACTTAAAAAGAAATGGGTCTCATTTGTTAAGCATTTCTCTTGTGCCCTTTAAGATGGATTCCTCCGTTATCTCTGATTTACCCATGATAATAATGAGGCTCAGAGAACTTAGGTAACTTGCCCAAAGTCATTCAGTTGATACACGAAGGGGAGCCTAGATTGGAACCTGTCTCTATGATTTTAGAGCCAAAATCCTCTTCCATCCCAACTTTCCCAATAAGAAAAGAAATTAGATAAGTAATTTATATAAAATTGTAAATATAAAGAACTACATATTGAAAGAAAATAAGCATTTGAGTGACTGGCCTACCTTCAAGGCTATTCAAGGCTTAGCTCATTTTTGAGAACTTCTGTACTTGTTTCTGAATCCTTGTGCCCGTATCTGCTCCATTTGTACGCTTTTATTCCGTCCCCCATTAGTGGCCCTTCCTCACACACAAGAGTCACACAGGTATACCTCAGAGCTATTGCGGACAAAAACAATACTGAGCCTATCCCACTAAATCAAGAGTTACTGGGCTTGGGGGCAGGACAGATGCTTCAGTGGTTTAAAGCACTTGTTGCTCTTGCTGAGGACCTGGGATAAATTCCCAGCACCCGTAGTGGCTCACTGCTACTTGTAACTACAGTTTCAGAAACTCCAACGTGCTTTTCTGATGCTGTGTACACTAGACATGCACATGGCACACGTGCTACATGTGGGCAAAACACTTATGCATACAAATTTTAAATATAAACAAATTCATAAAGAGTTACTGGGTTTTCAATGTGTATGCAAGTTTTGTCTACCTGATGCCATAGCCTACTAAGTGTGTAATAGTACAGTGTCCAAAGCTCATAGTAAGGTGTCCAACTTTAAGCTCACGCTTTTGCTAAAATCATCACTAGAATTCATCGGAGCCTTTGGAATGTCCTAATCCTTTGAGAGGGGATCTTGACTTAGCGCAAGTGGCTACTATTGTCTTATCAGGGCGGTTGTTGATGCTTGAGGCGGCTGCGGCTGTGGCTATTTCTTCAGATAGCACGACAGTATGATCCTCCTGCCGACATAAAGTATCTGAGAAGAGCAGTTTCAGCAAGGAGAGCCTCATTTGGGCCCACGGTTAAGGTACAGCCCGGATGACTGGGACGTCATGGCGGCTCTTCCTCCTCACAAAAGGCAGTGGGTGCTGCTTTGTTGTGTTTTACCCAGGCTGGAACATCTTTAAAAATCATTCAATTCTCTGCTTTTTCAACTAAGTTTATATGACACACTACACCAGCGGTTTTCCACCTGTAGGTCACAACCACTTTGGGGGTCAAATGACCCTTTCACAGGGTCACTGAAGACCATCAGAAAACACAGATATTTACATTATGATTCATAACAGTAGCAACATTACAGTTATGAAGTAGCAACCGTGTAACTTATGGTTGGGGGTTATCACAGCGTGAGGAACTGTATTGAAGGACCCCAGCATGAGGAAGGGTGAGACACACGGCTCGACACTCTTTAATGTCATTTCCACGGTGACCTCTGAGCGCCTATCAGAGTTGGTATTTTGACAATCACTGTAGTAGCTTCAAGACTCTGATCATAGAGCCCCACAACACGATAATATTGATGAAAACATTTGAGAGGTTTGGGAGTCACCAAAGCATAACGCAAATGAAATGTGCACATGCCAGTAGGAAAATGGTGCTGGCAGACCCGCCGTGGCAGACCCGCCATGGTAGGCCTGCCGTGGCAGACCCACCATGGTAGACATGGGTTACCCAAACCTGTAAAATCACAGTTTTCACCTTGGCAACAAAAACTCAGATAGCACTGTGTCTAAACAAGCCAATTATCTGAGCAGACACTTTTCAAAATAAGAAATACAAGTGGGTAACTAAAATAAAATAAAAAAACTTATTATTGTTAGTTATCAGGGAAATGCAAATTCAAGCCACAATGAGATTCCATATCATCTCAGAATGATAAAAAAAAAAGGCTGCTGTAAAGGTCACCAGTCCTTGCACATAGCTGTGCACACTGTAGGCTGTTCTACTGATCTGCCAGGCAAGTGCCTATGCCTGCAGTTGTGGCGTGATTGATATTGTAAACAACTGCTCTCTGATTGGATCTGAGGCCTGTACAGGGGGGAATTCAGATATGATCCTATATATGAGGTCAAAGCCCCTGACTTTAGGTCATAGATCCTAGAGAAGAAGCTACTATTGTTGCTTTCCTAAATGAACTAGGAATTCCCAACACAAGTAGCTAGCAAGCTTAGCCACCAGTAAGCTCTCCTCTCAATGAATGAGGTGAATGAATGACCAAGCATGAATCCAGACATCCACCTTAAGGTGACACATGAATGCATACACATTTGCATATACTCCTACGTGTGTCTGCATACATGCAAATACCAATGCGCACACACACCCATGCATGCACACACACACACACACACACACACACACACCATGCCTAACTCAGTGTTCTCTCGACTCTGCGGTTCCTCAGCTCACTCTGAAGATAGCCCTGGACCTTTCCAGGCGCCCAGCTGGACAAAAGGGCCTTTTGCTGCAGCAGAACCCTCTCTTGCAAGGCCCTTGCAGTTATGGAAAGCAAGCGTTTTCTGTTATCATTCACTAACATTGTGTCACTGAAATGAAATACCTACAGCCACCAATTTAACAAAGGGAAGTTGTTTGCTCAGCCCATGGTTTTGGAGGGTTAACTCCTCTACGGAGGATGCCAGGCGGTAATGGTAGCAGATGCGTTGGAGAAAGTGGCCACATCTCAAGCCAGGAAGTAGAGAGTGAGAAAGACTGGGGCGAAGTCCGTCCCTCATATCCCAGTGACCTAAAGACCTGTCACTAAGCTTCACTATTTCTCACCCTCTCTCAGTATCTTAGTAGTGCCACCCTAGGAACAAAGCCTTAGTAGACATCCAACATCCAAACTACAGTAGTGTGTGTGTGTTACACTTACATGTAACATTTAATTGAGAATGTTTTATGATGCCAAACAGGAAACAAGGGGAAAAAAACAAGTAATACCTTAATCTTTAAGTCCCTTAAAAACTAACCGTTCATGGGAGAAGCAACCCCCACGTAAGTCACAGGTGCTATAATGTGGAGGACTGAGAATATGAGCCTATTTCCGTGTTGTCCAAAGGTCAGAGAGTTGGGACCCTCCAAGGTTTTTGTGCTTCCCCACCTCAAAGTTCCTGCCTAGAAGTAGGTCAGAGAGTTCTTCTCTCTCAAGGTTATTGTCAACAGGTGTGGCTAATAGTCAGAACCTGTGCTCCAGGAATAGGAAAATAGATGTGTTCCTACCTAAAGAGTCTAAGGATCCAACTAAATACCAATTCTCTTATGGAGATAACTTTGGATTCTACCTAGGGAGTGGTTTGCCTACAGAATGTTTCGGTCCAGGGTGTGAGCGAGCGTGACTTGCTTTGTTCTAGCAACAAAATAAACTATGGATGTAGCCAGTGGCCTTCGACTGGTCTGTTTATTTCCTTGTATCTTATTTTGCAGTCTTTTATCTTAGTCCTACCTTTTGGGGTCAGGGATATTTAAAGCAATTGGAAATTAAATACAGGGAAATTTCAGTACTCACTGGAACTCCCTCCCATGATATACTCCTATGCTTCTCCATTTTATTATTTTCTTCCGCATCTTCATATTCTTTACTAATATTTTCTAGATCCCCACGCCTTGATCCTGGCAAAAGTTATTTTTGTCGAGACTGGTCCTGGACACTATAACAGAAGTAGGGACAAAAGACCCTGGGATTCAAGGGAATGGAGCAACTGAAAGATTTGGGCTTTTTCTAGTTTCATTTCTGTGGCTGTGATAAAAATATTCCCTGACCAAATTGCAACTTAGAGGAGAAAGGGTTTACTTAACCCACAATTCCAGGTTGGAATATATCACAGCAGAGAACTCAAGGACATGGAAACTTCTTCAAACAGCTGGTCACAGCACATTCGCAGTCTAGAGTGGAGAGAGGTGAATGCCGGCATACACACACACACACACACACACACACACACACACACACACGCTTGCTTGCTTGCTTGCTTGCTCAGTTCCATTTCTCCACTCTTACACAGTTCACTAGGCTCTGCCTGGGGACTGGTGCTGCCCACAGCAGGCTGAATCGTCCCATAACCGATTGGCTTAACTGGGACAAAGCCCCACAGACATGCCCATAGGCTAACACAATGCTGACCATACTTTGCTGAAATCTCTCCCCAGGTGGTTCTAGGCTTGTCAAATGAGCATAAAAGGCCCCTTAGAAATCCAAGAGTTATTACTGGGCAGTGGTGGCACACACCC